AACCACAGACGTCTGATTGAAAATTAGAATGATGTAAATTGATGCTATCAGTGTCCCTGATACACATAAAAAATATAGAAAACCTCTTTACAATCTCTTTAACAAGAACCACAGACGTCTGATTGAAAATTAGAATGGTGTAAATTGATGCTATCAGTGTCTCTGATACATATAAAATATTTAGAAAACCTCTTTACAATCTCTTTAACAAGAACCACAGACGTCTGATTGAAAATTAGAATGATGTAAATTGATGCTATCAGTGTCCCTGATACACATAAAAAATATAGAAAACCTCTTTACAATCTCTTTAACAAGAACCACAGACGTCTGATTGAAAATTAGAATGATGTAAATTGATGCTATCAGTGTCTCTGATACACATAAAATATTTTAGAAAACCTCTTTACAATCTCTTTAACAAGAACCACAGACATCTGATTGAAAATTAGAATGATGTAAATTGATGATATCAGTGTCTCTGATACACATAAAATATTTTAGAAAACCTCTTTACAATCTCTTACATCAAGTCGAGGAAGAATTCAAAATGGTGGTGAACTATGATCGTGTGTTATTTCTATGTTAGAATCATACCTAGTGTCTATTGTGTGAAATAATGCTATGTTTGTCAATCTAATACATCTCAATGAAGCCAATTCAACATTTCATAAATGTCACTACTCTATTTTTTATGTCTTTCGTGAAATATCGATGGTGAAAATTAGTTAATAAACTTGAAGAAAATAAATGAAAATAATAAAACATGTCGTCGATGAACGTTAAAAAAACAACCAGTTGACACATTTTGCTTTTCTCTTATCTGGAGGTGAGATAGTATCAAAAGCAGACCATGGTTACTCTTTTCGAAACACCTGATGGTACTTTTCTTTGGAAGAGTTCACTACTATACAACTTAATTGTTAGTCTTGTTATTTTATTCACTTCTCTTGATAACACTGTCTGTATGAGCAAAGGACGCTATGTAAAGATGTCAAACAGTCTCCAAGGAATCGCAGGGCATTTTAACTAGAGAACTGATATCGTGTTGCTGTCCACTATTGTCCAGTAATGACCTTTGAACAGTTTGACCTAGGATAAGATTAACGAGTAAAGACAGCTTGTCCGAGACAATTGTTGAAACAGAAGTTTCTAATTATGATCAAGACATAGTAGTAATCATATTTTTAATTAAATCACAAATTGGAATCATTTCATACTGCCAACACTTGTTTCAGAGTTATATTCATTATGAAAGACGTGTTTCGAATCAAGGCAGGGCGACAAGGGATGCCTTGAAATTTTCGGTAGTAGAATAAGGAAATGAAGCTGAGAAGCCAATAGGTTTGGCTAATGACCAGCTGGTAGAAAGGATCCTCGTGAACCTAAATTGTTATCCTTGTAAAATCATTACGAAGAGGTTTGACCAAGTACCAGATGGTAGAAAGGATCCTTGTGAACCTAAGTTGATATCCTTGTCAAATCAATACCAAGAGGTTTAGTCAAGGACCGGCTGGTAGAAAGGATCCTTGTGAACCTAAGTTGTTATCCTTGTAAAATCAATATCAAGCGGTTTAGCCAAGGACCAGCTGTGAATATTTCTGTCGAATGCGTAACGAGAAAGTTACGGATAATCCAGGAAAGATCAATACCAAGAGGTCTGGCTAAGGACCAGCTGGTAGACAAGATCGGTTTTGGCTGTAAGATCAGAATATATAGAAATTTACTTACTAGTATGATATAGTTGACCAGTTTACACATGAAGGCACCGTACAACCAATTTTTATCAGCGAACATACTGGACGTAAGGGGAAACGAGATAGTTATAAAGGCCAGGTCGGCGAGGGCTAGATCTATGATGTAGTAACTTGTCGCTGATCTGTCGCCATGTCGTACCATTGTAAATATCACCAAACTGTTGCCCACTGTACCAAGTATGATAATTACACCCCATACCGCCCGTAACAATATCGATTCCACGTACCCAATTATAACTGGTAGGGTTTGGTTGGTATCTGAAATAATAATTGAAAAATGTCATTAATATACCAAGGCATCAGGTTCGTTCGTCCTATTACACGCTCGCCTTGGTCCGTTCGCTACTTGGTCAAAATTCGTTCGCCCTTAGTCAGGGTCTGTTCGCCCCTTGGTCAAAGTTCGTTCTCCCTTAGTTAGGGTCTGTTTGCCCCTAGTCAAAGTTCGTTCTCCCTTAGTTAGGGTCTGTTTGTCCCTAGTCAAAGTTCGTTCGCCCTTAGTTAGGGTTCGTTCGCTGTTAGCCAGGGTCCGTTCGTCCTATTACACGCTCGCCCCTTGGTCAGAGTCTGTTCGCCCCTTAGTCAGGGTCTGTTCGCCACTTAGTCAGAGTCTGTCCTCCCTTAGTCAGAGTTCGTTCGCCCCTTGCTCAGGGTCCGTTCGCCCTTAGTCAAGGTCTGTTCACCTCTGTATTATATGACATGTAAGTAATATATATGGAAGTAATGAAGTTAATCTAATTAAGGTGTTTTTATGATAATTTAATTACGGTCAATCATTTACAAAAAAAAAACTTCTGATTAACTCTAATATTTATTGGGTTTTAATGTCTAAAGTAAAGCAACTGAGACTAACGGACGATTGGTCAAACGGATAGCGAACCTGTCCTTTTAAAACGTACGGGGTTGAAAGCTAACAGGCTAGAAGTGAAAATATGGAGAAAGCGTTGAAAGAGAAATTTGAAATGGTTTATGTTGAAAGTGGTGAGAGATTGTAATATCATCTTCACAATGTCAAGGGTTACCTTGACTGCATTAGTCACCTTTCTTGTATCTTCACAATGTCAAGGGTTACCTTGACTGCATTAGTCACCTTTCTTGTATCTTCACAATGTCAAGGGTTACCTTGACTGCATTAGTCACCTTTCTTGTATCTTCACAATGTCAAGGGTTACCTTGACTGCATTAGTCACCTTTCTTGTATCTTCACAATGTCAAGGGCTACGTTGACTGCATTAGTCATCTTTCTTGTATCTTCACAATGTCAATAATAGCTTGACATTGTGAAGATGAAGTTCGTAATAGCTTGACATTGTAGAGATGCAGTTTGTAATAGCTTGACGTTGTGAAGATGAAGTTTGTAATAGCTTGACATTGTAAAGATGTAGTTAGTAATAGCTTGACATTGTGAAGATGTAGTTTGTAATAGCTTGACATTGTGAAGATGTAGTTAGTAATAGCTTGACATTGTGAAGATGTAGTTAGTAATAGCTTGACATTGTAGAGATGAAGTTTGTAATAGCTTGACGTTGTGAAGATGAAGTTAGTAATAGCTTGACATTGTGAAGATGAAGTTTGTTATAGCTTGACATTGTGAAGATGAAGTTTGTAATAGCTTGACATTGTGAAATATTTTCAGGTATAATTTACAACGTTTTTAATTAACCCTTTTAAAACAAATTCAGTTTGATCAAGAAGATACATAGATATAAATAACAT